CCGCAGGGAGGATGGGGTGGGGGGGCAGGGTGGCCGGTGGCATAGGACCAGGCAGGGACACATGGGCCCACTAAGGCCTGCCTCCCCTGGCCCCTGGGGAGCCTGTGCCACCGTCTCACGGCTAGGTAGGACTCCCCTCTTCCAGGAAGTCTTCCAGATGACCCCGACAGCCTCTCTAGGCTTATAAGCCCTGGCCCTACCAGACGGCACTCCCAACACACACACTTCACATCTCCGCTTGCAGGTGCCAGCCCCCACCTTCGCATGTGACTGTCCACGCAGCCCCCTGCCCCGGGGCTTTTCATGTCAAATCACAGCTAGCCAGCTATTGTGCCTAGGAGGACTGATCTGCAGGGCCCCCACACCCCAGCCCTGTCCCATAGGGAGATCTCTGAATGGGTGGTCTCTTGCAAGGCCTGAGTGGGTCCTGGGAGTGGCCGGCACCCTTCGATGGTGAAGTGGAGAGATCCAGAAATGTCCCAGACCCCCTGGGGACCCTAGGTGGGGGCAGTCGAGGCTTCAGCCCTGGCTACCCCAGGGGGAAGGAGGCCCTGAGAGTGCCCCCTTGGGACAGGCTCCCAGAGCCTGGGGGAGCTGTGCTATGCCTTGTCTGTGGGGTTCGTCCATGTGTGTGCTTTAGGGAGCGCTTGGGGGAGGAGGAGCTCTGTGGCCCTGTCAGTCCTGAGGCTGCTCCTGGAGCCCCTGCTGGTCCCTCCACACTGAGGACGGGGAGGAGGTGCTCTGTGGTCCTGTCAGTCCTGAGACTGCTCCTGGAGCCCCTGCTGGTCCCTCCACACTGAGGACGGGAGGGAGGTGCTCTGCACTCAGCAGGGCCCTAGGACCTGAGCAGGCCTGGGCAGGAGGCTGCACTGGCCCTGAGCTTTCTCCCAGGTATGCAGGCACGCTGGCCCAGATGCAGCAGCTGGGAGCCTCCCAGCCCCCGCCCCGGCACACGCTCTCCACGGAGCACCACGTGAGTCTGTGTCAGTGGACCCTGAGCCTGATCGGCACCCAGGGAGAGGGCCAGCTTAGGGCTGTGGCGAGATCATGGGATAAAGGAGGCCAGCCTGGGGGAGGCCGAGTCCCTGGAGGGGACACCTGAGGTGGGTCAGCTGCTGTTAGGGGTTAGTTCGTCAGAGTAGCCAGGATGCATATGCAGTAACTTTTTAATGTCACCGCAGCCCATAGGGGAGGTGTTACCGTGACCCCCAGTTAACAGGAGAGGAGGCAGAGGCCCAGGAGGTGGCGGGAGGAAGCTGATGCCCCAGGAGGTCAGCCCCAGCTACGGGAACTGCATGCCCTGCAGGAGCTGGGGCTGTGCACTCACAGCAGGGCTGGCTGAGTCCAAGGTGCCCTCCGAGGCTTGAAGAATGGCCCAGGAAGCAGACGGGGTAGTTTGGCCCCAGGGTGCAGCCAGCTGACTTGAGCCTGTGGCCCAGGCCTCTGGTGTGACCCACTTCTCGGGGCCTCAGATCCTCACTTGTAGAATGAGCTTTCTGCTGGGCCTGGCCTTGCTAGGTTCTTAGGGGGACTCAGAAAGTCACTCCATGAGGGACCAGCAGCGTAATGGCTATGTTGCTAGACTCCCACATAGTCAACCGCGGTTTGAGTCCCTGACCCAGCGGCTTAAACTCATGCCAGATCCCAAGAGGAGAATGGAGAAGGGATTGCGGCGTGGCCATCCCCTCCCCTGGGGGGGGTGATTTCTCGCTTTCTGTCTCTCTGTATCTGTCTTTCTGGCGAGCGCACGTGCCCTATAGCAAAAACCTCTTCCCCCACCAAAAAAAAAGAAAGTCACTCCGCGACAGAGGCCCAGCTCACTGAGTGACTAACACAGAGAGGCTGTCGGAGAACCATGAACCCCGACTCCAGAAAGGCGGGCCTCACATGGCAGTGAGATGCTCAGTGGGTGACCCACACACAGCGGGGTCTGCAGGGTGTGTGGCAAGAGGGGTGGATGGCAGGGGAGGTCCCCTTGGACCTGGGGCTGGGCAACCTGAAGCCAGCTCCGCCCGTGTCAAGGTGGTGGGGACCCCAGCCACCACCGATGGGCTGAGACTAGCACGCGGATCTGGGTCAGGGCCCACCAGGAGAGACGTGGGGAGGACTGATCCTGTCCGAGTCCAGTCCCTTTTCTCTCTCAATGTCTCCTGCCGTTGCTCAAAGTAGAAATGTGGGGGAAGACCTGCATGACGCGTGCTGACACTGCGCTGCGGGAACGGAGTACCCAGGGCCGTGCGTGCGTGCGTGCGTGCACACGATCGCGCTTTCTCTCTGTGATGTGTGGGGTCTGCACGTGTGTTTTTGTGTTTCATGCCGTTTATGGCGTGTGATTGTGTGTGCCCGTGTGTTGTATGTATGTGGTGTCTGACTGTATGCTGTGTGTGCAGGGCTCAGGGCCTGTGGGTTGGGGGGAAGCCACGTCTGTGGAGGGGGGTGGCCAGGCAGAGGTTTCTTTATGCCAAGGGCTGGCTGAGGGCCCCTAGGGGAGGGCAGGGCAGGAGGAGAGGCCGCTTCTGGCCACTGGGTGGGAGGCCACCCTGCCCTGGACTCCTGGGAGCAGGTGTGGGGCCCTGCAACAATGGAGTACGTGTGAGCCAGGCTGCAACCTTGCCCAACTCCACTGTCGTGCCCCGGAGGCCCCAGGGACAGGCCGGACCACAGCCACAGCTCAATCAGGTCTCACCTGTCATACTGGGAGCTGAGAGCACAGACCCACGGCGCCCTGGGGTGCAGCCAGGCGGAGTCTCCCGGGAGGTGACTCCACCCCCTGCCTCCTGGCTCGACTCCGCCCCTCAACTCATGACTCTGTGGCCAAGTCTTTGGTGTTCTCATCAGCCCACCTGCTGCCCACCCGGGCAGGGATGTGAGCCATCCTCAGGCCTCAGGTGGAGACACTGCCCAGGAGGGGTTGTGGGCACCGACTGGGACAGGACCCCCTGGCCACCTCTGTTAGGTCCTTCAGGCCCCAGTCCTTGGTCCTTTGACAACCCATGTCTTCCTTAAAAGCCCTCCCAGGCTCTCCTGGGCCTTCCCTTGTCCCTCCCTGCACCTTGACCTCAGGGGGTGTGAAGAACATGGCTCCTCACAGTCCCCCTGATCCCCCAAGTCAGAGCTGGGCAGGGAGCCAGGGAGCACCGCCTCGGGCCCAACCAGAAGGAAGCAAGTCCCCTCCAGCTCCTCTCAGAGGAGCCGTCCCTTCTCCTCTCAATGGATGGGGACCCGGCTGGCCTGGGAGTCCCTGGAGTGCTGCCCTGCAGCACTGCGGTATCCAGGGTGGAGGGGCCGTTGACAAATATTGGCGAACTAGCAGGGGGGTACAGAGAGCTCGGTTACTGAGTGCCAGCCGCTGCCCTAAGCACTTGACACTTCTTACCCGGTGAAACCCGAGGGTCCCAGTGAGGGAACGGAGCAGCCTGGCCTAGTGAATCCGGACTGACCTCTGCACAATGCGCCCCCGGTGTGCACACGAGAGTGCCGGGCCTGTCTGCCTGCGGGCTTCATCCTCCTCTGTCCTTATTTCCTTACTGATGTGGGGGGAAGTCAGCCTACGGCCGCGTGTTCCCGGTGCAGAAGTAAACAGCCAGCAGCTCGATGTCTCTGGGCTATTCCTTGACCCCTGTGGCAGCCCTGCGGGAGGCTTCTATTCTCATTCTCCTTTTATAAAGGAGGCTGCGGAGACTCGGAGAGACTAAGTGACTTGTCCGGGGTGCTCAGCTGGCACTTGGCCTGGAGCCCCGGGGGCCCTCTGTTGGGTGTGGAGCTGAGCCAGCATGCAGGGTCTCAGCAAGAACCAGCAAGCCCCCCCCCTGCGCAGCCGATGTGCCTCGGAGCTCCTGCCTCTCAGACCTAGGCTGGGAAGAGCAGCAGGGCACCCCACAGTGCTCTGGCTGTGGGTCTGCCACTCCCTAGGGACTGCCGGCCCCATGCCTCCTCTCTCCCTCAGGGACTCCCCCGAGGACTGGCACCTGCGCCACCGCACACTCGGAGGGTCCCCTGGAGTGCGCAGTGCCTGCAGCTGCTGCCTCCTTGGCCTGGAGGTCAGGCTGCATCTGGCCCCTCTGCACTGTCACATGTCACCCCTCCTGGCATGGGCCTCACTCCTCTCTGGCTCCCTGCCTGGCCACTTCCTCTCCCATGTAACTGGAGAGAAACGTCTCTCCTGGAGACCTGCAGGACCCCATCAGAATCGCCACTTCGGGGACCAGCAGTTGGCGTAATGGCTATGTGGCTGAACTCCCATGTAGTCGACCGTGGTTCGCGTCCCGGACCCGGTGGCTTAAACTCACGCCGGGCGCGTGTGCGTGCGTGCCCAGGATCTTGAGAGGAGAATGGAGGAGAAGGGATTGCGGCGTGACCATCCCCCCCTGGGGGGTGATTTCTCGCTTTCTGTCTCTATGTCTCTCTCTGTCTGGCGAGCGCACGCGCCCTATAGCAAAAACCTCTCAAAAAAAAAAAAAAATCACTTCAGCCCGGTGGCACCATTCTACCTCCTGTGAGGGGGAATGGGGCTACACCAAGTTCCCCCACAGCTCCGTCCCCGAGGAAAGGCCTGAGCACACAGGGACCAAAGAACCCGGGGCAGGTGGTCCTTCCAGGGACAGGGGGTGTTTGCACAGCATGCGTGCCTGCACGTCTGTGACTACACAAGCAGCACCACTGCGTCCATGCCCACATGCGTGCACGCTCACTGTACCTGGGGAGAGATGCCTAAGTGTGCGCACGCGTGGTCACATGCTCCCGAATCTGGGTGTTCGCATGGATTATATGTTTGCGTGGGCCTCTGTGTGCATGCGTAGCCAGGGTGCTGGGCTGAGTGTGGCTGTGGATGAGCCATCCTGCTCTATAGCTGCAGCTGCAGCTGACAGGGGGTGATGCTAACAGTTGTAGAAGATTTGGGGCTCCTGGGGCCTCCTGCAGCAGCCCTCACTGCTGAGAGGACCTTCGCTTGAACCCATGGCCTCGAAACCTTCTGCCCAAAGCTCTAGTCCAGCTCCGCCTCCGCCCTTGCTGGCCAGCAGTGGGCGGGCACGCCTGCCTGCCTGCCCTGGGTCAGCCGGGGAGCCCTGGCTTTGCGGTCAGACAGACCAGGGAAAGTACCTGCTCAGCTCTTCCCGTGAGCCTCAGCTTCTTCATCTGTAAGACAGGACCACAGTGCCCAGGGGTACTGGCGGGCTAGCTGGACTAGGCGCTCACTCACTGAGAGCGTCAGTAATTACGAAAATAATTATTATTGTCAGTCTGAGGGCTGCATCGGAGGAAGAGCCTGCATGAGCAGCCTGGCAAAGTGGCTGGTGCCCAAGTCTGTGTGGGGTGGAGGTGTCCACGAACAGGGCGACAGTGGGGCAGTGGGCTGCCCTGGCGAGGGCCTGGAGTGGGGCCAGGTGGCCTGGAGGATGCACTCAGCCTGGGGCCCCGGGGGCCCTCCATTGGGTGTGGAGTCGAGCTGGCACGCAGGGCCCCAGCAAAGTCTAGGACAAGGCAGTAAGCACCTGTCCGAGGGGTGCCCCTGTCCGTTCCCAGCCAGCTGCTACCCCAAAGCTCTTGCCGATGCCAGCAGGCTGCTGGGCCTCCCCGCAGATGAACCTGCTTGGTCTGCAGCCCCTACCAGGGCTTCTCCTTGGCCCGGGGCCTGGGATACTGGCTTTGGTCACCCTTCAGGAGCTCTCCTGGGAGATGAGGCTGTGCTGGCTGCCCTGGACGGTCTCCTGCAGCCGTGGAGTCTCTAGCCGGGCCTCGTCCCATCAGCACCTCTCGGTCCAGCCAACCCTGGTCTGTGCCCTAGGTCCTGTCCGCCTTCTGTTGCCGCAGGGCTTGCAGGAAGACCCCTTTCACCTGGCCCAGGGTCTCGTGGTACATGCGGAAGTCCTCTTCCTTCCCCTTCACGGCGCTGCCCAGGGCGGCCTTCAGCATCTCATTCTCCTCCACCTGGATGGCCAGCCTGAACCACATGGAGACAACGCTCAGTCTGGTCTGAGCTGGCACACACGTGGGCATGGTGCACAGAGGGCCTGGAACAGGCCTCCCGGCATGGCTGCTTGCGCGTGGGTTCTCTCTGACCCCTCCCCTCTTCCCACGGACCCTTGGGGGAAATGTCACATGGGATTCCTCTCTGGGCACACCATGGCCCTGGGCCTGGCCCCCAGTAGCTCCCAGCAATGTCGGCTGCCCTGAAGAGGAGTACTGATCTGTAGAGGGGCCCCCTTTTCCTTTCCCGTCACTGCATTGGATTTTTTTTTTTTTTTAAAAGGGAGAGTTTTCCTATAGGGCACATGTGCTCATTGGAGAGACAGAGACAAAAAGTGGGAAATCACCCCAAGGGGAGATGCCACGCTGCAATCCCTTCTCCTCCGTTCTCCTCTTGGGATTTTGGGCATGCATGCACACACGTGCGTTTTAAGCTGCCGGGTCCGGGACTTGAACTGTGATCAACTATATGGGAATCCAGCGACTTAACCATTACACCATCTGTTGGTCCCTAACTTGATCTTAAAAGATCTATTCGAGAAAGAAAAGTGAGTTCGGAATCATGCTGGAATAACCTTCTCATGGACCATAGGGCTCACCGGGGTTTCTCTACCCTCTGAAGGGCAGCCCCTGAATTGCAGGACCAGTGGGATCAGCCCACGGGCAAGCGGAAGTCAAAGGTGCAGAAGGGGGGGCGTGGTCTCTCTGCCCCCGAGGTGTCTCTGCACAAGACGACTCTACCCTTTGCGGAATATGGGGCGAGAGGGCACCTGGTGGTCAGCTCCTCTATCTGGGATTGCACGGGCACGTCGGAGAGCTGGGTGAAGGATGGGTCCTTCTCACTCCCAGTCGGGTGGTGGCTGGAGTCTGGGGCGGGCAGACCTGTGGGGCGGTAGCAGGCAGTGTGTGAGGAGGCCACCGCCTCATGCCAATGTCCTCCGTCTCCTCCCCACTGCCCACTTACTGCATTTCCCCTTGGTAAAACATCACCGCCTTTGGGGTGGACGGCCGCCTCCCTCTAGAAGCCCTCTTTGATGCCAGCTCTGAATTCTCCTGACCCTGGCTTTGGCCTCTGCCACGGCCCTCCCTCTACCTGGTTTGTACCAAGGTGGTCCCTCCACTTTCATCACTGTCTCCATCTTTAAACTTCACAGGCTTCTGGTGAGTTGTTTCCAAGGACAGAAGCCAGCCGGTCCTGAGGTCTGACCTGCAGTTTGAGCCTGACTAGGCTGTCCCGGGTGCCCTCACACCTCTGGGTCAACCCCAGTCCCCAACTGGGCCAGCAGCTCCACACTAGAAAGCAGAGGGTCCCGGGTGCTGGGACAGGAGCTGCAGAGCGCACCGAGAAGATAAACCCAGTCTGGAGGGGACTCGGGCAGACTCCTGACACACCGGCAGCGGCAGACCTGGCTTTCGCCTGCCACTGTGTGGCCGCAGGTGAGCCGTGAAACCTCTCTGGGCTGGTTCTCTCACCTGTAAAGTGAGGATCACAGCTCACGCCTCTGGCACTTTGTGAGGCCTGAATGAATCATGATTGGCCCTCAAGGCCCCGAGGGATGGGACCTCCTGGGTGCCCCGCAACTTGCCTGACCTCGCCTCACACTCCTCTCCCCTCCACTCCAGCACCTGCACGCCCTCCTTCCTCCTGCTTCGTCCGCTCTGCTCAGAGGCCTGCCTCCCCTGCTGGAGTGGAGTGCTGCGTGGGTCTGGACCGCAGAATCTGGTCTCATTGTACAGGCTGGCAGGGGTGGAGGGAGGCGTGCTCCCCAAGGGCCGGTGTTCTGCCCGTGGTCCAGGCCAGGTGGCTGAGCCCCATGGACACTCAGGCAGAACCAAAGCACGTCCCTGCCATGGCCTCATCTCCACGCTTGGGGGTCTGGCTGTCCAGCGGGGGCTGAGCCCATGGCCCTGCGACACCATACTCCCAGGGGACACGTGCTGAGAGCCCAGGAGGGTCAGCAGGCTAAGTCCCAGGGCCCCTCCTAGCTGGGTCTCGCGGCAGCTCCTGGGAGCCCCCTGAGCCCTGGGCCTGCTGGGAGGCGGGTGAGCAGGCAGCCCCATCTCCACCTTCGTGCCCTGCTTCTGCCACGCTTCCTCTGCATGTTCCGACCTCAGCTGGGCTGAGCACCGGGAACGAGGGGCTGGGGGACAGGGTGGGGGTGTGAAAATGACGGAGGCAGCAGCCCCTTCTCGCTCCAGGGCCTGGACAGGGGTTGCGGTGGGCCACCCGAGGGAGGCAGGCCTAGCCCCTGGAGGTCTTCCTCCTTGGCAGACAGCCATCTCAGAAATGGCCTCTGGCTCTAGCATCTGGCACCCGAGTGTGCCCAGCCCATCGGCGGCTGCTGCTGGTCCTGAGGCCACACACCCTGAGAGTCACGTGCTAGAACGGCCCTCTCCGGGCAGCACGCCTGGCTTCCCCCTGCAGCCGTGCGCTCCTGTGTCCAGATCAGGCCGAGGTGACAGCAGAGGCGACACACACATCCCAAAGCACAGAGCACGTTCCTTTCCCCTCCCCCTACCTGCTGTGAGGGGGGCAGGGGTGCGGATCCTGCTGTGAGGGGGCAGGGGTGTGAAGCGGGCTAGCTCAAGCAGCTGCTATAGGCCGTGAAAGAGATGGCAGCCGCGTGCTGAGGTTGGAGGGGACACGGGCAGGAGAGCTTAGGCCTGTGGAGGGGCCACATGAGTCCTACACATGTACACCGGCGGCACGGGGGGCGAGGAGGGCCTCCTCTCCTGCGTCAGCTGCTGTGACTTCAGCCTCCCCAGGAGACCCACACTGCCCCGTGACCAACTTTGAACAAAGTCAGCTTGGGACAGAGGGTTGAGGGCTGGGATGGGGTGACAGGGCAGGGGCTGGCACCATGGCCTCCTGCTAGGCTCACAGGGGCTGCGCCAGGGCACCATGGGCCGGTGGTGCTCTGGGGCTCCGGGTGCCAACTGGGGCCGGGGAAGAGGACCCGCAGACAGAGGGACAAGCAGAAGTCTGCCCTGACAGAGGCCCTGCATCCCACATGTGCAGCCGTGGACTGAACGCGCCAGCTGCCCCCGCTCTGGCACCGCACTCTGGCACCCCAGCTCCTACCTGTCTTGTTCCGGGGTGCAGCTCTCTGCGAAGCGGGTGCCCTCCCGGGCTCCAGCCGCATCTTCTCCAGGTGCTGCTCCAGCACCACAGAGCGGTGGCGCTCCTCCTGCAGCTTCCTCTCGGACTCCAGGAGCTTGCTGTTGCTCTCCTCCACCCTGGCGATCAGAGGAGGGGGTGCACAGCCGCTGGCAGGCCCAGCCCCCGCCCACCTGCTCAGGCCTTAGACAGGGAAGCACCTCTTACACTGGCAGCGGTGGGACTTGGCCTTGATTTCCATTGCATGAATAGGAATGTGCATTTAAAGTAATGCAGCTGGGGACCAGCAGTTGGCGTAATGGCTATGTCGCTGGACTCCCATGTGGCCGACCGCGGTTCGAGTCCCGGACCCGTTGGCTTAAACTCACGCCCCGTTGGCATAAACTCACGCCGGGCACATGTGCGTGCATGCCCAGGATCCCAAGAGGAGAATGGAGGAGAAGGGATTGCGGTGTGGCCATCTCTCCTAGGGGGTGATTTCTCACTTTCTGTCTCTCTGTCTCTCTGTCTTTCTGGCAAGCGCATGCGCCCTACAGCGAAAACCTCTCCAAAAATAGTACAATAATACAGCTGGGGACTGGCTGTGGTTAAGGGTGGCTAAGGAGGCTGGATCCGACATGGTCAGCCATGCAGTTTGAGTCCTGGACCCTGTACCTTTAAAAACACACCGGATACATATGTGTGCCTGTCCAAAAATCCAACAGGAGGGAGAGATGGAGGGATTGTGGCATGCCATGCCCCGAGGGGTGCTCTCTCTCTCTGATAAGCACGCATGCCCTATAATTAACTTAAATAAAAATAGTCCAGTTGTCTATCCAAGACTTGAGATGAAAAAGTTCACAGCCACTCCCAGCCCCATCATTCCCGGTGCCTCTTCTCCAGAAGCAACCACTTGTAATACTTCTGGCTGTTTCTTTTTCTTTTTTTTGGAGAGGTTTTTGCTATAGGGCGCATGTGCTCACCAGACAGACAGAGAGAGACAGAGACACAGAAAGTGAGAAATCACCCCCCAGGGGGGATGGCCACGCTGCAATCCCTTCTCCTCCATTCTCCTCTCGGGATCTTGGGCACGCACGCACACACGCCTGGCGTGAATTTAAGCCACCGGGTCTGGGACTCGAACCGTGGTTAACTACGTGGGAGTCCAGCGACATAGGCATTACGCTGACTGTTGGTGCCCTGGCTGTTTCTTTGAAGATTTACTGCCTTATTTCTACAGACACTTATGCTGCTGGGGTTTTGTTTTTGTTTTAAGGGCTACATATAAGCTTTTGACTTCTTACTGGCAAAATGAGAATTTTGCTTTATTTTTGTACTCTTCCCCCACCAAACCGAATCACCTCTACCCTTTTCGGCTGTATTGCTGTTAGGTGCTATGTGCGTTTTCTACTGCAGCTGTGCAACTGTGATAAATCACCACAAATGTGGCAGCTTAACACGATATAAACCTATTTTCTCACAATTCTGTAGGTCAGAATTCTTCAGGCCTTTAGCCCCAGCAGGTGGCATGGTGGTTAAGGTGTTAGACTCTCACATGGCTGACCACAGTTCATATCCTGGACCTGGTGGCTTGCTTTCTTAGTTTCTCTGTATCTCTGATGAGCACATGTACCCGATAGCAAATTACATAATAATAAATTAAATTTTAAAAAAGGGAAAGAATTCTGCAGTCTCAGTTGGAAACTCTGCTTCAGGTTCCACAAGCTGAAATCAGGTGTTGGCTGACCTGGGCTCTTATCTGAAGGTTCTGCGGAGAGTCCACTTCTAGGCCCACTTAGGGCCTTGGCAGAATCCAGTTTCAGGTAGCTGAAGGACCCTGTTTCCTGCAGGCCGTTGGTCAATTTCGGCTTCTAGAAGCCACCTTGCCCTGTCCATCTCTGAAGCCAACTAGACACTCTTACGCTGCGTTGAATCTCTGACCTCTGCTGCAGTTTGTCTCTGAATAACCTCGGATGGAGAAATTTCTCTGCTTTTAAGGGCTCAAGTGATTAGATTGGGCCTGCTTGATAATCCAGGATAATCTTCCTATTTTTGGGTCCATAACAACAATCATATCTGCAAAATCTACGTTGCCATGGAACAGAAAGCCTTCGCAGGCAAAACAGCAGGGAGCAAAGGGCATGGCTCTAAAACCCTGTCTACCCCGGGACTGCGTTCGGAACATATTCAGCGCCTGGTTGTGCGCTAATGCCGCGTTCCCTTTCTGAGTTGTTTGCTTTTCCTGGGGTTGGTGATTGCCTTATGCTTCATGTTTTGTTTTCCAAATGCCTGTCATAAATTCATGGACTTTGAAGTTGTTGTGCACTATTTCACATAAAAGGTTTGTTTTTGTCCTTGTTGTTTGTTTTCTCTGTGCTCTCCAGAGAAAACAGCGAGAGAGAGAGAGAGAGAGAGGGAGAGAGAGAGAGAGAGAGAGAGAGAGAGAGAGAGAGAGAGAGAGAGAGAGAGAGAGAGAGAGAGAGAGAGAGAGAGAGAGAGAGAGAGAGAGAGAGAGAGAGAGAGAGAGAGAGAGAGAGAGAGAGAGAGAGAGAGAGAGAGAGAGAGAGAGAGAGAGAGAGAGAGAGAGAGAGAGAGAGAGAGAGAGAGAGAGAGAGAGAGAGAGAGAGAGAGAGAGAGAGAGAGAGAGAGAGAGAGAGAGAGAGAGAGAGAGAGAGAGAGAGAGAGAGAGAGAGAGAGAGAGAGAGAGGGAAAGTGAGAAATCACTCCCTAGGGAAGATGACCATGCCACAATCCCTCCTCCTTCATCTCTCCTCTCAGGATTTTGGGCATGCACATACACACGGTTTTTCAAACCACCAAGTCTGGGGTTCAAACCAGGTGTCCTTGTAGGATCCAGCCACCTTAACTACCACATCACCACCAGCTGGCCCTGAAGGATTTGTTTAATCTCTCTGGGTCTTGGGCTTAAACCCTTCCAAGGTCAAGGTGTGGCATTTCAGACATCTGTGACACTAAAGGCTCAGCTGAAGACCAGGACCCTCTTATCTAACCCGAGCAAAGGGAAACCCACACTCCTGGAAGTCAGAGTGGTGGCCTGGAAACTCCCAGCGCTGGAGGAAGCGGCTTTCTCCATTGGTTACAGAGCCGAAAAGGCAGAAGGGCAACGATTCGGAGCAATAAACGAAGACTAACACAAATGTGTATACGAATGCAGTATACAGCTACTTACAGATGTTAAAGCATGTTCCTTGCAACTTTATTTACAAAAGCAAAAACTGAAAACAGCCTAAAGGCCTATCGAGGAAGGAAAGAGAAATCAGTGGTGACATATTCATCCGGTGGGTCGCCAACATAGTGGCTCCAGCCTCCTGACCGAATGCAGCTACCACAATGCAAGTTAATTAAGTAAAATTAAAAATTCAGTTCCTTAGCCACCCTAGTCACGTTCTAATTTTTTTTTTTTTTTGAGAGGTTTTTGCCATAGGGCACATGCGCTCGCCAGAAACAGAGAGACAGAAAGTGAGAAATCACCCCCCAGGGGGGATGGCCACACCACAATCCCTTCTCCTCCATTCTCCTCTCGGGATCTTGGGCACACACGTACATGCGCCCGGCGTGAGTTTAAGTCGCTGGGTCCGGGACTCGAACCACAGTTGACCACATGGGAGTCCAGTGATGCAGCCATTATGCCAACTGCTGGTCCCACGTTTCAATTTTTCAAGTTCATCTTTTTTTTGTTTGTTTGTTTTTAATGGCTAGAGGGCATATGAGCTTACCAGGGACATAGAGAAAGGTGTGTGTGTGTGTGTGTGTGTGTGTGTGTACACACATATAAAAAATCCACACAAGTCCCCCCCCCCCCCCATGGTGCCTGGTCACACCACAATCCCTTCTCCTCCATTTCTCTATCCCATCAGGATTTTAAGCATGCAAGCACATGTGCCTGGCATGTTTCTCAGGCCGCTGAAGCTAGCACATGTGCCTGGCATGTTTCTCAGGCCACTGAAGCAGGGATTTGAACCACAGCTGGTCATGTGGGATCCAGCTCTCTTAACCATTAGGCTCTAGGGCCGGCCCAAGTTCCAAGGTCTCTAAAGCCACAGGTGGCTGATGGCCACTGCATCGGTTTCTATCATCGCAGCAGTTTCCACGGGACGGCACTGCTCTGGCAAGGGAAGAGAATGAGGTCCAGCTATGTGCGCACAGGGATTAGCTCCAAGGCCTAGAGCTGGTGGGGGAAAGCAAGTGCCATAGGAATGAATACATACGGTATGATGCCATGCATGTAAAACATCACTGAATAATAGTCTCCACGCCTAACTACTCATCTATGTAAACGAATGAACAAAGGCCTAGAAGGCCACACCTAGGTAAGGGCTGGGGTGGGGTGAGGGGCACAGCTTGGCGGCATATCCAAGCTAGCGCCTCCTGCTGTCCGCAGCGGGTAACTGAGACCCTCTGGTTCTGAATCTGCAGGAACAGGTTTTTATAGAGAACACTGAGCCGTTGCCTCTCCCTGAGTTGTCAGAAGAGCCCAGTGAGTGGTAGGGGGTGGAGCTGTTTCTCCTTACCTGTCTGGCTTGTTGGAAAGAAGGTTGCTGGAGCCATTCAAGGTGACTAGCAGTGACAGCCCTTGGAGCTGAGATCCTTGTCCCCAAAGCCTCGGTTTCCCCAAAACCATGGCACATAGGGGGAATGGGGGGACCTTACAGAACTGCATGTCCTGTTTCCTACAGAGCCCAGGTGGTGGAGAGGGGCACGCATCCGCAGGTACCACTCTCCTGCTTGAAGCCCCCCTGGCCTCTGCAGCTCTCATCTAAAACGTCCTTCTCTGTGTCTTGGCCTTGATCTTTCCTCAGGGAGCGCCGGTCCTGAGAGAAGGACACACTCCTCCATTATCCACTCACCACTCACTCACTCCTTCGTTCAACAGGTACTGACACCCACTCATACCGGGCACTGCGCCAGGGGCCTGTCCTCATGGGACTTCCTGCTTTGTTGGAGAGAAAGACAATCAAGACACACACACGAGGGACCAGCAGTTAGCGTAATGGCTATGTCTCTGGACTCCCACGTAGTTGACTGCGGTTCTCGTCCTGAACCAGAGGCTGGAAACTCACGCTGGGCGCACGTGCGTGCGTGCCCAAGATCCCGAGAGGAGAATGAAGGAGAAGGGATT